CCGGTACAAAAAAAAAAAAAAAAAGTCAAAAGTCCTAAATGCATGTGCACCAAATAAGGTAGTTTCAAGCCATATAAAGTAGAAACTTACAGAATAAGCAGCAATAGAAAAATGTGCAAACTTTTATCACATGTAAGCAGCAGCAGTGTGGGTATCGACTATTATGGCTAAATATCATGGCCCAACAACTTCATTTCAAGGCACGTTCCCCAAATACTTACACACACGGATACTAAGAGACACACACAAAAACAATGAAAGCAGTGTTATTCTCAACAGTCAGATGTGAAAAGCAGCCAGAAATCCTTCAAGAAATGGCTAATCAAACAGCTATGCATTTACTATACAACAAGGAAAACAAACTACAGCATCTCGAACAACATACACTACCTTCAAGAGGCTTGATGATCACAGCCAGACAAAAAAGATTACATATTTTATGATTTTATTCATACCGTATTTCCTGATCTTTCCAACACACTACAGGAAACTATGTAGACCTTTCCTGTCTCCCCATGGAACTTCAATTTCTCTGACCTGTGTTCATTTATAGTACCTATATCAGTGCTTTAAAGATCTGTGCTTAACAATTCACAACAGCTGCTAAGTCTTGGAAGCAGCCTATTGCCTATCAACGCATGAATGGATAAAGAAAATGTGGGATCAATACACAACAGAGTACTACTCTGGGATAAAGAAGGATAAACTCAAATCATTTGTAGAAAAAAGGATGCACCTGGAGACCATAATGCTAAATGAAGTAAATGAGAAACCACTTTAAATATCACATGGTTTCTCTTACATAGAAGCCCAAATATATATAAAGAGCAAAATAAAAGTTTCCTAGAGGGGGAAAAAAAAGGCCTCTACTTAAAAATTAAGGTGAAAGCACTCATCCTCAATGCAGTTTAAAATGACTGAAATATAAAGGCAAAGGGTGAGGCACTAACCATGGCCTGAACCCAGGGCCTTCACACTGAACCACATTCCCTACCCTTTGTAATTTTTTCTTTGAGACAGGATTTTGCTAAGTTGCTCATACTAAACCTGAAGTTATGAACCTCCTGCCTCAGCCTCTTGGAGTGCTGAGGACATAGGCATGTGCCACCACACCAGCTAAAAATGCTTAGTTTTCTTAAAAGTTAAATTTGAAAATGTTAAAGTTAGCTGGGTGTGGTAGTGCACACCTGTAGTCTCAGCACTAGAGAGGCTGAGGCAGGAAGATTGCCAAGAGGTTGAAGCCAGCCTGGACTACACAACAAGCTGCCTCAAAAAAAAAAAAAAAGCAGGGGCTGGGGATTTAGCTCAGTGGTGCTGCTGCTGCCTGCCTCACAAGCACAAGGTAATGAGTTCAATCGCCAGTACCAAAACAAAACATAGTTGAAGTTATACTCATTTGCTGAACAAATTAATTTGACTAAATTATAGTTTATCAAACCACATATGAAAATTAAAAATTTAGAAATACATAAGAACACTGCAGTCAAATATTTAAAAATCATGCAAAACTTACTTTTCCAACAAAAGTGAAATACTTAAAAAAACTGATTCCATAAAAATGATTTCAGTATACTTATAAGACTTCCAAGATGTGTTTGATATACAGCAGTGCCCCTACTACAGCCACTGGGTATTCATGCATACAGTAAGCATTTTTTTCTTTTCAGCACATGATAATGCCCAGAGAGATGGGGGTGCTGAGACACAATTTTTGCTATGTAGTTTGGGCTGCCCTTGAAGTTACCGTGTAGCCCAGGATGGCCTCAAACTCACAGTGATCCTCTTGCCTCGGCTACCCCGGGGCTAGGATTTCAGGTGTGTGCTTCCACACCCAGCCTGAAGAATTACTTTAAAATTAAATAATAAGAAATACATTATACTTAACTCTCCTATGCAAAAGCACAGAAAATCAAGTTTACACAAGGCTGCATGGAAGCCAATGCTTTATCGCAAGATAAAGAAAACACCCCACCATTTTCCACTGCAACTTTTTAAAAACTTTGATCCTGCATACTCTGAGCATCTTAATGAATCCCATCTTCCTGGTATTCACATGGTACACAAGGAAATCCAAATACATTAAATAATAACAAGTAAGATTTTAGCCAGTACAGCAGAGCTCTGGAGAATCACAAACCAATTTAACATCCAAGACTGTTTTTAAATGCATGATTTAGGTAAACTTCAGCAACAGACAGAGCTAACTGGCCATCTGGGCAGGCAGAGAAAGAATGGATGCAAAGTGCTCCTGGTGTGCTGGGAGCTCTACCATTCTTACCCTGAGCGCTTAGGAGAAAACCACTCCCGGAACCCTGTAACATTGTGAGGGACCAGGCAACTTTCCTTACGTTTTCAAAATGCTCTTCAAACAGTGATAAGATGGTTAAGTCTTACTATTTAAAACCCAACAAGAACACCTGTAACAAGAAACACTGTACTTCAGCAGAAGGTTACTAACGTTTTCATAAATCAAAAAGAAAACTCTTCATTTCAATTTAATTTGCAATTAGTTCAATCCAAAGAAAAAGAATTCAAGTTACCTTTTGTGAGAGCTGAAGAGTCTTTCTTTTTCTTCCTATTATATAAAGATTTCTTTCCTCTTCACCTTTTTCTATTCGAAAGTCTTCTAATCTCCTACAAATTAAACATTCAGTTATGAGTTACCAAACTGATATAAAGAGCAAAACTCAGTCATTATGATTCTAAAACTCTTAAGTTTATGATTTTTAACTAATTCATTAAATGTAATATGAATATAAAGTCTGAGAGACAGCTAGGAGATGCCATTTTTCATACTTAATACAAAAATTCATTTGTATTCTGATTAGGCCCTCCTAGGACCAATTCAAAAGGGAGCTCCAGTATCACTCAAAATGTCCCCACAATTTTCCAAGATTGTTATTCCTTTCTCTAAGAAAAAATTAGAGTTCTCCTCTTCAAATTTATTCAAATTTCATGTTTTAGAATTTAAAGAAAACAAGAATAGCAATGCTACTAGTGTTTCTAATCAAGTGTACTTCATTCACACGATAAAACGGAAAGGTAATTTTTTGCTACGACCATCCTGAAAAGGTACAATGTATCTGTAAAAACACACTGAAGGGCCACTCCTTTTCTCCAATTTTAACATTACTGAAAACACGGGCTCCGTGTTGTGAAAATCCTTCTAAAGAAGTTTGGCCATGGCCTGTATACCAAAAGGGCAAATGCCAGGAGGACGAATGCTGGTCTGTAGGGAGACCATTTATTCTCAAGGTGCAGCTGCAGTGCACACTCACGTTCTTCAGCTCACAGGGGATTTCTAAATCAGACCCAACCCTCCATCGACTTGTTGCTTTGACCTCTCTTATGTGTGTTAAGGAGGTTTTCCCCTTGCAACCAAATGACACTCCTGCCCGTATCCACGTGCTTCCCTTTGTCCTGACAACAAAACACTGAACACAATCCATCTCGATCAGTGTGGCACAGGAACACTGGAGGACTTGTGAGGATCAACCTTGAACTGTGTGCGATTCCACTTCTTTTTTTTGGGGGGGTGCCAGGGATCAAACTCAGGTCCTTGCACTTGCAAGGCAGGCCACCGAACCACTGGGCTAAATCCCCAGCCCATGCAATTCCACTTCTAAAGACATGGTCACACAGGAAAAGTGGTATTATAAAGGAACACAGAAATCATATGTCGTATGTTCCTCCTCTCAGAATGAGTAGCATTTCTACCAGTATTCAGTCAACACAAAACAACCCGCCCAAATCCTAGGTCCAAAGAGAATTACTGCTACTGGAACCAACATTATGTACTCAGAGCCCTGTACAGTAGGGTCTGTTTATCTTCACACTTTCATCTATTATCTACAATTTTTTACAATGCACATATAGCATATCCAGAAAATAAACTTTTAATTCTCTTCACCCATAACTAATGAAACTCTAATAAAAAGTTATCTAAAATTCACCATCACTCACCATTACTTTCACTACACAGATTGCTGTCAAGGATATCACTACTATCTCACATACTATCGTCTTCATAAAATCTAATGTGAGGGCTGGGGATGTAGCTCAGTGGTGCCAGGCCTGCCTTGCAAGTGCCAGGTCCTGAGTTCGATCCCCAGTACCGGGGCAAAAAATGGACAGAAAATCCAATGTGAGGGCCAGAGATATAGCTCAGTGGTAGAGTACTTAGTATGCACAAGGCCCTAGGTTCCATACCCAGTACTATACCCTTCAAAAAATTCCAGTGTAAGCTTTATTTTGGAAAACAATGCTAGAAAGAGCTATGCTCTCCTTTGTGGAAATTTATTCTGGCAGACAGCCAAATCCATTTTCCTCTTCATCCTCAGAAACAGAATCTCAATTTTTATCAGAGGGCCAGGGATTTAGCTCATGGCGCCACCGCCTGCCTCACAAGCACAAGGTCCCAAGCTCCATCCCCGGTACCAAAAAAAAAACAACACAATTTTTATCAAAGTTCTTTGATGCCTTGAATAGAGACTGTTATTACCTGGCCTCATTTATATGGCCAAATGACAATATCTTAGTACAAGTTATGAGTAAATATACCATATGGCTGCCCAAAGGAAGTTTCCTAACTAGAAATGCCTTTTCTGCCTTCTCTTCATCTATTCATCTTCCTCCTTCTGGCCTAATCTCAGTCTACATGAGACACCAGGATGCGACAGGCAGTTTCATCAGCTTTACCGGGCTTGAGATGAACTTAAGAACTAGAAGCCAAGCACTAGAAACACAGAAGCCTGATGCTCTGGCTAACTGAAGAGCCCTAACTCCAGCCTCAAACTCTCTCTTTCCAATCCTCTTTTAGGTAAGAGAATAAATGCTTGTGGATTTGTGGAACATCTTCTGGTTTCTTCCTGATGCCCATTTACTTTCTCTGGGTTTTGTCAAAAAAAAGCATTCTAAAATGATTCTTTTGGGTCTAATGGCCATGAAATTCAGAAAACTATATTAGGCTTAATTATGGCATACTATGTACATTATAGTGATTTTTAGTATTTTTCATCAAAATTTAAGATTCTGCTTTTTACTGTTTTATTGTGTGCCTATAAAACCTTCTCAAATTCACTGTGAAGCACCTAAGTACCATCTGATGCTACGCATCAAACACTTCTGGCTAAACACATGAAGGAAATATTTTTCAAAATTTTCTCCAAGATACTAGGTATCAGGGCCAGGGGTTTGGCTCAGTGGTTCCACTGCCTGCCTCGCACACCCAAGGGCACCCGAGTTCGATCCCCGGCACCAAAAGAAAAAAGATACTAGCTATCAGAGCACAACAAACATGACAGAATTTCTTTAGCACTATAAAAACATATTTGCAAGCTGGGCATGGTGGTACATGCCTATAACCTCCACATTTGGAAGGCTGAAGCCAGCCTGGAACACAGCAAGACCCTGTCTCAAAGAAAAAGTATTTACTGCCTCCCTTTCAATAACTCAAAAATTCAACATCACAAGTTAGCAGCAAGACCTCTACTGCCCAGATTATAATTATGAAATATCTTCTCTCACAAAAAAAAAAAAAAAAAAAAAAAAAAAAAGGCTGTTTAAAACAAAAGACTGATTCTAGGTCTAAATAAAAAAATGTACAAGATGAACTGTAACCCCTTCTTCACGGCCATCAGCAAGGATGCCATGAAAGACCACAAAAGTCATTTCAAAAGGACTGAGGAGTCTCAAACAGGCTCCTCTTAACCATAGAGGTATCAATAAAAACAATCAGAAATAAGCTCAATGAAAGAAATTTAAACACTACATAGGTATTTATACCAAGGAGTTTTAAGTTATGGCAATGGTTATACTTTAAGACAATTCTTTATGTTTCAGAAATATGCAATGAAGCACTTAAGAGACAAAATGATATTATATCTGGAATCTCTTTGCAGATAATCCTGAAGGAAAGCTGAGTGGTGAAGCACACCAGCTACTTGGGAGACTGAGACGGGGATCTTGAGTTGGAAGACAACCTAGGCAACTTTTCAAGATCCTATCTCAAAACAAAATTAAAAAGAGCTGGAATATAGCTTGGGGTTAGAGAGCTCTGGATCAATACTCAGCATAGCAAAACATTTATAAAAAATACAAACACTAAAAGAAGAAAAACAAGTACAGATGAAATAAAACTGGCTATGAAATAATTTATGACAATAAAAGGTTAAAGAATAATTTTGAGGGCTAGGGATTTAGCTCAGTGGTTCCACTGCCTGCCTCATAAGTGCAAGGACCTGAGTTCAATCCCTGGTACCAAAAAACAAAACCAAACTGCTGCTTCAAACCACCCACTGCTTCAAATGTATTTATATGATAACTTACACAACTAATGGAAGACAGTGGACCCTCGAGTTTCAACTGGCCCGATGTATGAACAACCTGGGTTAGGACCAGAAATTTAGTTTTCACTTATGAACAAAGTCTTGACTTACAACCCAAATGCCCAATGCTTGTGCTTCCAGATGATCTCAGACACAGATCTAACCCTTAGAGCTCTGGAAGGAACAGGACAGCATACTGTACTGTGTGGGGCTCACTGAGAAGTCCCAGGCCAGCGTCTCCCTGAGAACTCTGAGATCTGCTGCGTGCAGGAGAGAGACCTGGAAGGCTGTGCAGAGGAGCCTGAGCCTTCACTGACCAAGCTAAGTTATAGCCAGTCCTCGGGAACAAATTGAGATCATAACGGTCCACTGTAAAAGGCGTGTAAGCAACCACATGAATATATTTTCACAGAAATAATATAAATATCCTGAAACAAACCTAAATATTCCTAGTGGTACCTCTGGTACAACCACTCTTCGTTTCCAAGCCTGCAGGTCCCGTTCTGTCGCAATCTGACTTCGAGGAGCATTTTGGTGCATCTGGCGGACACCTTCAACTTGTCCACTACGACGCAAACCAATGTTTGGAGGGGACTGGATGTCTAAACTTACTCTTCTAAAGCCTAAGAAACAATGATCAAGAAATAATTCCAAACTATTTTACAATTAATACACATTTAACAAGAAAACATTCCTCCTACATACCAAAAAACAAATAGACCTACTGAAAAAAGCTACAAGATGTTATCAAGAAAAGTAAAATATTGAACATTTAAATATTAGAACTCGATTTTAAGGTGGGTGTGGTGGTGTAAATCTGCAATCACCATACTAGGAAGGCTGAGAGGAGGATTACCTCGAGCTCTAGGCTAGCTTCTCTCAAAAAAAAAACAGCCCACTCCATTTCAATTTAGACTTTCTGAAATTGTATAATGAATAATATTTTGCATTCCCAAAAATGTTTTTTTGGTCTGTGCTGATAGAAGTGTTTCCGGAAAATTTGCATTAAACATAGATGCCTCAAATGGAGGTGGCTTTACGCTAAGTTATAAAAACATAAACTGACCCTCAAGAGCCAAACTGAGCCACACAGCAACTCCCAACATGGCTTATACGACTTCACACAAATGGAGGGGCAGCCCTGGAACAGAGCAGGGCGAGGGGGGTGAACAGGCAACACAGGTGACAGCAAAGCTGTCAGGTGACAGCAAAGCTCTGAGCTGAGAGGCGGCCGCCAGGGTGGTGCAAGCAGGCCAGGCGACTACCCGGAGGGAAGTGGAAGCAGCCATGAAGACTGGAGACCAGGCTCAAGGGCAGAGTCCCCCAGGCACTGCCTCCTGTGCTTAGAACATAAGGTGAAAGGATTCTGCTACGGTGCAGCACCACGCAGGCAGAGGCAGTCCCGTCCTCTAGGGGAGCCTCAAGTCCAATCGAGCTACACCGGATCTCCCAGCCATAGGACTGAGTACAACGCCCACATTCTTCTCTCCTCAGCACATGTGGACAGGTCCGTGCTCCACAGCACTGCACTGTACCTCCCAACAGGAATTCACAGTGAAACATTCTGAGCTGCAGATGAAGCTCAGTGGTAGAGAACCTACTCGAATATGAAGAAGGCCCTGGGTTCAATACCCAGCACTCACAAAGAACAAAAAATAAAACATACTGAATGTTTGAAGAAATGCTTTTTGAATGGAAAAGCAAGTAAAACTAAATTTAACTGCCAGCCAGGCACAGTCACACATGCCTGTAATCCAAGCACTTGCAAGGCTGAGGAAGGAGGACTGCCCCAAGTTCAAGGCCAGCCCGGGCTACATAGGTGAGTTCCAACCCACAATGAACGACAGAGCAAGACCTTGTTTCAATAAACAAACAAACAAATAAATAAATAATTTAAGTGACCATGTCATATTGTTATTCTGCAACAATCTGAAAACATGCAGTAGGTTTATTAATCACAACATTTCTTACAATAGCAAAATATAAGAAACAAATTATACATCCATAAGCTACTTTAAAAGTCTGGAGAAAGCCATGTGAGATGACATGCAGTAACTCCTGGAACACACTGTCAGAGGACAAGAGCACGGCACAAGAGAATGCAAGGGCATCCTGAATCTCCCCTCTAACACATGGAGGACCAGGCCCCACTCCAGGTCACTCGCCTACAATGTGTGACCTGAATCTAGTCCAGAGGAAATGGTCAGACCAATCCACACTGAGAGAAAGCCTGTGGAGCCAACAGTGAACCCTTTCAAAGTGTCTGTGCTATGAGGAAACTCTTTCAAATTATAAAAAGTCACACTAAATACAATAAGCAAGAATTGACTAATCCTGAATTTTTTTTAAAAATCCATGATGAAGGACAACATGGGGGTGGGGTGGTGAAATGAGAACTACAAACAAAAGAGCAGTATTGTACAAGCAAAATCTGTCGAGTGTGGTCATTGTGCTATAGTTACATAAGAGAACAAGAATTGTTCTTTCAAGATGCACAATGACACATTAAAGTAAAAAGTGTCACAAGTTGTTTTCAACTAACTCTCAAATGCTGATTCGGTAAGAAAAATTAAGTCTCTGCTCAATTTAACTTCACAAGAATTAGAAATGTTAGCCGGGGATTTAGCTCAGTGGTGCTGCCACCTGACTCGCAAGCACAAGGTCCCAAGTTCCATCCCTGGTACCAAAAAATAGAAAGAAATGTTAAAGCAAGGAAAAGCCACATGTATAGTTTTCCTTTAAAAGACACTGTTTACCAGGCACATGCCTATAATCCCAGCTATTCAGAAGGCTGAAGCAAGAAGATTTCAAGTTTAAGGCCACACTAGACAACTTAACAAGACCCTGTCTCCAAATATAAAAAAGGGTTAGAGATGTAGCTCTGCGGTAGAGTACTTACCTTGGCATGTACAAAGTTCTGATTTCTATTTCCAGAAAATAAACAAACAAAAAACTACTTTGTTATATGTCCCCCATTTAACACAATTGTGTAAATACTCTTATTTTAAAATAAAACCAAAAAGGTTTGATCTTCCTTGAAAATCAAATGCCCATTTGGTACAATACCTTACCAAGTAACAAACCTACCTTGGAATACCACTTCAACTGCAAAAATATATTGCTTCAAGTTTTTCACACCCCACATACCTGCTAATAACTTCACTTATGCTTTGATTTCAATGCAGCACCTTTCCTACCTCCCACGGGGTTATTACCTCTCCGAGGCGTTTCTTCCCCACTCAGAAGTCCACCCGGCACAGGCTCCTGATCCGCCCCCATCCTCTGATCCTGCTGCTGCTGCAGCTGCCTTATCATTCCATCCAGGATGCTGGGCTCCGGGCTTCCCTCCCCGTTATCACTGGTTTGGAGGCTTATGACTTGTTCAATTACCTCTCCGTCACCTACAATTCAATTCATTGAATAGGCAATCATGACATAGATGAGTGGGAAAAAGAAACCAAAACTTCACAAGACCACAATTTAAAATACATTAACAGGGCTGGGGCTGTAGCTCAGGGTTGGAGCATCTGCCAGAGTTCCCTTTTCAAAAACTAAACAATTAACTAAGAAAAATTTCAAAACAAACAAAACCCTTCCTTTAAAATACTAAGTGCCTGGCCAGAGATTTAGCTCAGTGGTGCCATCCCTGCCTTGCAGGCACAATGTCCCAAATTCGATCCCTGGTACCAAAACAACAAACAAACAGAGATTGCTAAATCCTTTTAGGGAAAAAAAAAAAAAAAAAAAAAGGATTCAGAACATTTTGGCTGGGCGTGGTGGCTCACACCTGTAATCCCAGCACTCAGAAGGCTGAGGGAGGAGGATCACCATAAAATCGAGGCCAGCCTGGACTATATACTCAGGTCAGTCTCAACTACATAGTGAGACCCTGTCTCAAAAAAACAAACAAAAATACTAAGTGCCACAAAAACCTCACCAGGGCCTAGAACCCCTAGAAGTGGAAGCATGAAGCCAGCTCTCTACACAGCACTTCCAGGTGTCCACACACACCAGTGCCCTTGGTGACCAGTCTCCGCCTTGAACCCTGAAACTTCAGGTGAATTCTGATGTGAAGAAATCCAGTGAGGTGGAATGTCCTCTCTCCTATCCAAAGGGAAGTGGGTAAGGTGAGGTATCTTAGGCCTTCAACATATGCCAAGCACAGCCCCCACCCGAACGCGTCCTCAGCAATGCAGGTGGACAGAGGCAATCCCGCCCCACTCTCCACCAGGCCTCACTCACTCTATCCCTGGATGCCTCGCTAACAGAGCCAGCATCCATACTTCTTCGCTCAAACTTAGTACAGAAATGGCAAATGCCGCATTCGCCAAGTGCTAAAGACATTCCCACTTCCTGGACAAACCCAAATCATAAGCATGCTGACACATGATGGTCCACAAAGACCACCACTTCATTTATGATGCATTGTGTCAAAAGCACACTTAATTGAAACAAACAGGCAAGCCCAGTCTACAAAGTCCTTGATATAGTCTACACATCCTGAGATCGTCTACAGGTACAGTCTGGCCCACACTCTTCCACTACACCAATGGCATCAAAGTCAAAAGCTAAACCCTTGAAGCGAGGGCAGGGACAAGGGGAAAAATGAGAATCAAGACATATCATGTAAAGGTACAAGATCCCAATGATGAGTGTAACTGTACTATATACCTAAAATGTACCGATGAACTCAATGAGAGAGAAAAAAAGAAAAAAGCTAGACCCTTGCTCAAACTGAAGGAAGCTGCCGCTTGCAGTGACGCACACCTGTAATCTCAGCACTTGGGAGGCTGAGGCAGGAAGATGGCAGCAAGTTCAAGGCCAGCCTGGACTATAGTGAGTTAAAGTCTGCACTATAAAGGGAAACCCTGTCTCGGTGATTAAGGAAATATAACAGCTAAATTTCATGTGCAGTCCCCAAACTGCAAACAATAAAGAACAAAATAGCTGCAACGTTATTACAATTGCCAAGTTTTAATTACAGACTATAAATTTGACCACAGCATTATTACATAAATGTTAAACATCCTAATTTTGATAATTATCTATGGTTATGTAAGAGTATAATTCTTAGAAAATGTGTGTATTAAAGTACATAGGGTTAAGTGGGCCTCAGATATCCAAAACTTCAGTTTCAAATAGTTCAAAATAATATATACAGAAAATAAAACAAACGTTACAAAATATAAATGTTTAAACCTGAGGCCAGGTGTGGTGGCACATCCTAGCACTCAGGAGGCTGACTGGGCTACCCCTTGTCCCAAAGGAAAAAAAAAAAAAAGAAGTACTAAAGAGTTCTTTGTATTATTCTTTAGATATTCAAAATAAAAAGCTTAAAGCAAAAAAAGAAATTAAAAAAAAAATAAGACTTTGCACTCACTTGTGGCCACATAGCCGAGCTGTGGAACCAAATGCTCATCTGCAGAGTTTTCCCGGCCAGGTACCAATCTCTGGTACTTAGTTGGGTGAGGATTTCCATCAACATCCACCAAAAATGGTGGAGGCATAAGATGAGGGGCCTGCTGAGTCTGCTCATCCAAGACATAATTATTAGAATCTCTAATCAGTGGTCGGTAGTCCGTATGGAAGAACATCTGATCAGGAATCTAGAAGAGTAAAGTTCACACAATGACATTTTGAGGTTTGTATACATTAAGGAAAACAAATACTAACCCCCGACACCAGGATCGAACTCAGGATCCTTGGCCCAACCAAAACAAATATTAAATGTTAGGTAAAACTAAAAACACAAGGAAATCAAATCAATTCAACTTAACTATTTCCAAGCCATTTTTTACAACTATTCACTCTACATACTACAAGAAAGCATTAAAAAAATAACCTTTTCATATGGTTTGCTGCATCCGAAACCAAATATAAGAAGATGCCCGTGAGAATCTGTGCATGCAAAATGTTGTCCATCCTGTGAGAACTTGCAGTCAAATACAGCTCCATGTCCTTGCCCTTCAATCTGGAAAACCCAAGGGAACAAAGTCAGAACCGATTCTACGCAAGTGCTCTGGCTATATAAAGTTTTTAAATGTAGATAACCTGATACAAAATACTCCCTTGTGAATTTCCCCCACACACAGAGCTCGGGATCAAATCCCAGCCTTGCACATCCAATGCTGGAGGAGCACTATACCACTGAACTGAACTACAGCCCCAGCACTCTACACAAACATTTTTTTAGGGCCAGAAATGTAGTTTAGTGGCACCGCCCCTGCCCAGCAAGTGCAAAGCCCCAAGTTTGATCCCTGATACCAACAAGAGAGAGAAGAGGGGGGAACATTTTTAACCATTTTCTTCTTGGTACTAAGAATTTCAATTCATGACCTTGCACTTGCCAGGCAGGCAATGGTGCCACTGAGCTACATCCCCAGCCCTTAACCATTTTGTATTAAGCAAAAATATCAATACTATCAGATTCATTTTAGATAACACTAACATAATTAAAAAAAAAAAAAAAAACCTTGAGAGATACTTAAATAGTTCTCAAAATGATCAAGTGAATACTCAGCCCAATCCACACTGAAGACTTTCTTTACTTTTCACAAGTGAACAACAAGCAATGCCAACCATGAACTTTAGTTTTCCTGTAAAACAAAAGGCTAAGAACCTACTGGGTACATGATTTAAGATTAACAATGTTTGGGGCCGGGGATTTAGCTCAGTGGTTTGGTGGCCTGCCTTGCAAGTGCAAGGACCCGAGCTGAATCCCCGGGACCAAAAAAAAAAAAAAAAAAAAGATTAACAATGTTTGATATTTATACACTAAAATATAAGTTTTTCTGAAAGGTAAGGAGTCACTACTAAACAACACGACCACGCACAACTGGACAATACTCAGAGCCCTCAGGACACACGTGAATGCAGCAGCTGCCCAACTTTAATCCACCACTGTCTACAGGACGGGTGCTCCCAGAGCATGTGATCATTAACGGACACTCTTCTGAGACAGAGTCTTGCTGTGTAGCCCAGGCTGGCCTCGAACTCGCAGCAATCCTCCTGCCCCAGCCTCCCAAGTGCTGGAATGACAGGTGCGCCACCACACCCGGCCAAACTCTAATTCTTCCTTTTTAGCTGTACAGTACACTATGCAATTTATAGGTGACTTAGTTGTTGGTTAACGCTACAGCATGGAGGTATGAATATTAGTTGTCTGTACCTATAATTTTCCAATAAGTAAACTTGAAGAATAATCAGTGTTGGAAAAATGAATTACCTACACACTAACTGCAGAAAAAGCACAAGTAAATCACTGCATTAAGAGTGGTACTTCCTCACAAGCAAAGGTCCTGAGTTCAATCCCTGGTACCCAAAAAAAAAAAAAAAGAAAAAAGAAAAACAGTGGTACTTCCCTACTACACTCTACGATACACAAGCAGGCATCAGTTAGCAAACAGAAAAAATAGTCATGGCTGTTGTTCAGGGAACTGCTGACTAAGGCATCCTATACCTAAATATGTATTTTTCTGCAACTGATGGCTACAACATGGGAACACAGATCCAGCCACCTACCCCCTCTCCGAGAGCCACCTCACCACAGCACCTGCCTCTCAGCACTCAGCTGCCAGGCTGGGCTCCAACCACAGTGAAACAAGCAGGTGGGCAAGATCAGCAAGAGCCAGAGGCTGGCAAGGCAAAGAAGCTAACGGCTACTCCTCCCATCATACATGGGGGCCAAAGGCACCAAAGCTTTTCTAAAGGTACTGACTGAGAGGGAAGTCTTCTGAGTGGGCAAACCAGAGTGAGTCAGAACTGGATGTTTGACAATTCTTGCCAAAATGCCACCTGCAAGTGTGTGTGCAGAACAACTCAATGTCACACTGAGGCTTACTGTGTTTTTATGACTGTTCTGATGGTACTGACACTTCTGTATGATTTCTCCAGCACTAGAGAATGAAGGGTCTCTTGGGAGAAAAAGAAAGGAGCGCTCAGCATAAAGCACCAATTACTATGGTATGGCTCAGGAGTTATTCCAATCATGCTGTTTAAAGCCTGGCTTAATGTAACTTTTTGCTTTGATAAGCTAAATCCAAGCTGGACTAGTCTTGTTGAGTTCAGAAGGATGACTGAGATGGATGCACTCTATAATTTGAACACAATAGAAAAACTGTCCAAGAAAGCCTAGTTCTTCTAAAAATCTGAATACATAAAGATAAAACTTGCAGATCTGTCTAAATACATATCTGTCATTTGACACAGGATGACCTTCAATCACATCCAAGAGCTACTCATCTATAGCTCCCACTCTTCTGCATCCAAAAGTAATTACACTTTCAAACTGAACTCAATATAGACAAGTAACGTCTGGCTTCATTATACACACCTCAGACACACCTCTGACGGTAACAGAATCTAATCATGAAGACACAGACAAAGCTGAGGGAGACTTTCTATCCAGGTAGAGCAGTGAGCACCTATGGTACCAACTACCTGGGAGACTGAGACATGAGGAATGCTTGAGCCCAGGAGTTAAAAGACCAGCCTGAACAATGACAACACACACACACACACACACACACACACACACACACACACACACACACCAGCAGGGCGTGGTGGCGCACACCTGTAATCCCAGCACTTGGGAGGCTGAGGCAGGAGGATCGCTGTGAGTTCGAGACCAGCCTGTGCTACATAGTGAGTTCCATCCAGGTCAGTCTCAACTACACAGTGAGACCTTGTCTCAAAAACAAAACAGAACAAACAAACAAAAAAAGTCAAAGAACAGCCAGGTACTGTGGCACACACCTGTAATCCCAGTTACTCAGGAAGATGAAGCAGGAAAGACTGCAAGGTTCAACCTGGACAATTTAGTAAGACTGTCTCAACATAAAAAATCAGAACGGCTGCTGAGGATGTAGCACCACACCTGCCTTGTAAGCACAAGGCCCTGAGTTCGATCCCCAGTAGCAGAAAAAAACTTAGAAAGGCTGGCCAGGCATGGTGGTGCACACCTATAATCCCAACACTCTGGAGGCCAACGCAGGAGGATCCAGTGATTTCAAGGTCACCCTGGACTATACAGTCAGTTCAAAGCCAGCTTGAACTACATACCAAGACCCTGTCTCAAAAAAACCAAAATAAAACGAAATGAAATAAAAAAGTTAAAAAAAGGTTAAATATGGGCCAGGGATTTAGCTCAGTGGTTCCGCCACCTGCCTCACAAGCGCAAGGACCCAAATTCAATCCCCAGTACCAAAACAAACAAACAAAAAGGCTCAGTGGGAGAGTGTCCCTGGATTCACTTTCCAGTACTGGAAAAAGAAAAAGAACCAGGAATTTGGTTCAGTGATTCTGCAGCCTGCCTGGCAAGTGCAAGGTCCCAAGTTTGATCCCTGGTACAAAAAAAGAAAAAGTGAGTGAAAGAGCAAGGAAGAAAAGGAAGACTAAAGGGCAAATGAAGATTAAAGAAAACTAGACAGAGGGGTCTGGAGAATTAGTTCATTGGTGCCTCTGCCTGCCTCACAAGCATAAGGCCCTGAGTTTGATCCCCAGTACCAAAAAAAAAAAAAGAAAGAAAACTAGAAAGATAAAGTCGCTTAATACAAAGAATATGTTGGATTCTAGCCCAAAGAACAAAATACAGCTATACAAGGCAATATTGGACCTACTGGCAAAATGTAAATATACACCTGGATTAAATAATACAATTTTATCAATGTTAAATTTGCTGATTGCTAACTGTATTGATGGTTATGTAAGAGAAATTCTGAAAAAGTACAATGAGATTCTAATTTAGTTCAAGAATACAATTATATGTAATAAAGAAAAAAGATAGGACCAGGGATTTAGCTCAGTGGTTCCACACTGCCTGCCTCACAAACGCAAGGCCCTGAGTTTGATCCCCGGTACCAAAAAAGAAAAAAAGATGGGCAGGGCGTGGTAGCGCAAGCCTGTAATCCCCAACACTTCAGAGGCTGAGGCAGGAGGATGGCTGTGAGTTCGAGACCAGCCTGGGATACATAGTGAGTTCCAGGTCAGTCTCAACTATATGGTGAGACCCTGTCTCAAAAAAACAAAACAAAATAAAGATGAATGAAACTTGATCCCTACATACCATCTACAGATATATGCTGAATAATATTCTGTTACCAAATATTAGCTTTGGTAATAGTTCTGTGTATTATCAAGTATTTTAATAAATTCAATCAGTGAAAAAGTTGTTTGTATAATTATCATAATTTGTGAATTTAAACAGGCATAATTCTCATACTGAAATCAAGCTACATAGATAATTTCTGAAAAATCTTTCCCTTGTATAAAATTATACAGAAAATTTTATGCATATATAGCTATATAAGTCAGATATTCATTAAGCTTTACGAATCCTGATTTCTAGAAAACTGCCAAAACATACAAACCAAATTCTGACTAACCCTAATAAATCTAAATTAAATTACTCTAAGCAAATGCAAGCATACATAGATTCTCCTCACTTACCGTATTAAAATAGTGTTTCAACTTGGTGCCTTTTGTAATATCCCATATAAATATGCTGCCATCATGTCCTGCAGATAACATAATTCTGGAATCAAAAGGATGTGTCTCCAAAACAAATACTTCATCAGCGTGTCCCTTTATTCAAAAAGTCATAACATTAATGAGGATTTACAAGTTTTAAATTGATCATATTTTTAAAATTGTTCATGTCAAATTAAGGGTTTAAAATATGAATGACAGCAATTCAAATATTGTTATGTATAAAATTTTCCAGTCATTTGATAATTTAAATAAAGCATATTAATTTTATACGTCGTTTCAAAAATAAAGAGTTCAAGGGCCGGGGATTTAGCTCAGTGCTTCGGTGGCCTGCCTTGCAAGCGCAAGGACCCGAGTTCAATCCCCAGTACCAAAAATAAAATAAAATAAAAGAGTTCAAAACTTCCGATCTGTCACACTGTGTAAAAAATACTTACCAGTAAATTATGAAGCAGCTGTCCAGTGTAAGAATTCCACACTTTCAAGACATGATCGTTCACAGCTGTGACAACAATGCTATCATTCTGATTCCAAGCTATCATTGTTACTTTGGGTTTCATAAATCTTTCCTCTTCAGAAAACAAATCTCTAACAAAAAAGCACACATGGTATTATTTGGATGGTAGGGAATACAATGTATATAATGTATTAGTAAGTGTACTAATACAACAGTAACTAAAATCTAACTCATGTGCCTATTTTTATTAGCCCTTTCATTTATACAGGGCTCAGAACAGATTACTCAGAAAGAGATCAAGGCAAAGCCAGCTAGGGAGTAGACAACTTAGAAGCAGTTTAGAGCTACAGGCATGTTTTAGGATAGCAGGTCTACTTCTGAAAGTACAGATGTTCCTCATTTAACAACCTACCTGTTTAATAACTGCTCAAATTTATGACCAATCTTTCATTTGTATACTTCTCTACATCCTGTTTACAGAGCCTTAACTTTTTTGGTATAGTATAACTTGGTTATACAGTACTATAGTTTTCACATACTGTACTGTACAGTAAGCACAGTACTATAGTTTTATGTTCAGTTATTCACTACAGTACTGCCTATCAGAGTTATGCAAATAAGATCAAAGTCATGGGCCAGGGATTTAGCTCAGTGGCACTGCACCTGTCTCACAAGTGCAAGATCCTGAGTTCAAGCCCCGGTACAAAAAGTCATCAAGTTGGACTTTTCTTTGATCATTCCTCTTTCTGCATGTTGTAATTACATACTACATACAACTCCTCATTTAGCAACCAATTCAACTAACCACCCAGTCACAGGACAGTAGCTTGGCCACTAAATGAGGAATGTAAGGTTCCCCCCACTTTTTTATTATTCTTATCTCTGGATTCCAAACCAATTGCTAATACTAAATCTGAACGGTTTCACCAGAAAAAAAAAAGAAGAGGAAAAAATTTTAGGAAGACTGGAAGAAAAATAATTTTCACATCCCTAGTGTCAAAATAATTACCTGACACATACCCAACTGAACTACTACAAATCAAATTATACTGTCTTCTTTATATTTCCTTGTCCCTAGGAGACCCTTGGCAAAAGCTGTCACAGATATGCACTGCAATGTTTTGCAACTTATACCTTCTCTGCAAACAACCACGGTCAGCAATCAATAGTGTGAGGGAGAAGAAAGGTCTAATTAGTTCTGAAATAAAGAAGATCTCTAGCCGAACATGGTGGTGCACACCTGTAATCCCAGCACTCGGGAGGCCGAGGCAGGAGGATCACTGTGAGTTTGAGACCAACCTGGGCTACATAGTGAGTTCCAGGTCAGTCTCAACTACATAGTGAGACCTAAAAAAAAAAAAAAAAAAAAAAGAAGAAGAAGAAGAAGAAGATCGTCTAAGAAATTATAAGCATCTAATATTTAATTATTATTTTAATTAACAAAACAGCTACCAGAATATGCAATAAACACCAAATACTAGGTATCTATGTAAACACAATGGAACACAGAACAGAGAATAAGTCTGTTTAGACTGGTCAGGGAAAAGAACAATGTAAGAGGTAAAATAAAGACAATGCCCTTAGTCTTTGAAAGCCTTTATTAATTAATAACTCACTAACAATGGCTATATTACCTGAATTTCATTAGGCTGATTAGCCAAAACCAGACCAGCGAAACAGGCACACCCATCAGTTATTACAGAAGACTGATGTTCTAGTATTTGAAAGCAGTAGCACTTTCAATGAGAAGAGTTTGCTTCCATCACAGAAGGAACCATAGTCATTCATTCCGTAAGTGGACATGGAGGCGAGAAAACTAAGCAGTTTTTAGTCTCATTTTCAAATTTTTCAGGAACAAGGCAAGGCTCTCTACTCTTACTGCTCCTATTCAATAGAGTTCCTAAAATTTTAGTCAGAACAATTAGGCCAAATATAAACAGAATAAAAAAGTACAATACGTCAAATTACCCTGGTTTGCAGGTGATATAGCCAGATACTTAGAAAACTCTAAAGACTCCACCAAAAAAAAAAAAAAAAATCTTTCAGAGCCAAACAATGAATTCAACAAAGCAGCAAGATATAAAATTAACATTAAAACACCAACAGCAGGGCCGGAGACATAGCTGAGTGGCAGCCTGCCTGCCTTACAAGCACAAGGTCCTGAGTTCAATCCCGGTACAAGGGATACACACGGACACACACACAAGCACACAGAAATGACACCGACACACACAGATTTTCTATACACTGATAATGGAGCAAAAAATAATGAAAACAATCCCCACCACAATAGCTCCAAACAACTAAAATATCCAGGGATTAATCTAACCAAGGAGATGAAAAGATTTCTATAATGAAAATTTCTCAACACTGAAGGAAGACATTAGAAGATAGAAAGACCTCTCATGTATGTGGACTGGAAGAATTAAAATGGCCATACTATCAAAAGTGATCTACAGATTCAATTCAATCTTCATCAAACTACAAATGACAATAAGGGGAAAAATGAGAACCAAGACCTATCATGTAAAGGTACAAGATCCCAATAATTAATGTAACTGTACTGTATACCTAGAATGTACCAATAAACTCAAAAAAAAAAAAAACTACGAATGATATTCTACACATAACTAGAAAAAACTATCTTAAAATTCATACAGAAGTATGAAAGTCTTAGAATAGCCAAAGCAATCCTAAGCAAAAAGACCAAAGCTGGAGGCACCACACTACACATTATCAAATTATAAAGCCACAGTAACAAAAACAGTATGGTACTAGGACAAAAATATTTACGTACATCAATGGAATAGAATAAAGAATACAAAAACAAAAGCACATAACTTCATTAGCCATCTGATTCTGGAAGAAGGAGCCAAAAATATACACTAGAGAAAAGACAGTCTACTGCCAGGAGGACTAGATACCCACTTCCAGAAGACTGAAGCTATATTCCACCTCTCACCATGCACAAAATTCAATTCAAAATGCATCAAAGACACAGGTATAAAGAACTAAAACTGTGAAATTTAAAACATAAGGGAGGGCTAGGGATGCAACTCAGTGGTGCCACACCTGCCTGGCAAGCACAAAGTCCTGAGCTTGATTCCCAGTATGGGGGGGTGGGCATAAGGGAGACACTTGAAGCCACAGACCCAGGCAAAGACTTCCTGAAAAGAAGTTCAACAGCACAGGAAATAATAGAAAGAATCAACAAATGTGACATCAAATTAAAAGGTTTCTGGGCAGCAAAGAAAAAATCTTTTAACAGAGTAAAGAGCCGATACAATGAAAGAAAGTCTATCGGCTGTGCTTCTAACAGAGGGTTAATATCTAGAATACACAAAACTCAAAAACTTAATCCAAAACAACAACTAGCCCAATCGATAAATGGGCAAACGAACAGACCTTCTCAAACCAAGAAAGAAAGGGCCATAAGCATATGAAAAAATGTTTAACATCTTTAGCCATTATGAAAATGCAAACAACTACACAGAGATTCCATCACACCCCAATCAGAACAGCTGTCATTAAGAATATAAAAAACAACACCATTTATTAAAGAGGCTATCTTTCCTCCACTGAGGATGGTCAGCTCCTTTGTCAAAGATGAGGTAGCTGAGTACCTCATCTGGGTTTGTTTTTGTCTTCCAGTCTGTTCCACTGATCCTCAGGCCTGTTTCTTTGCCAGCACCATGCTGTTTTTATCACAGTGGCTTTGTTGTATAGTTTCAAATTGGGAATTGTTACACCTGGTGCCATGTGTCTGTTGCCTAAAATGGCTTTTGCTATTCTAGGTCTCTTACGGTTCCAAATGAATTTTTGGATTCTTTTTTCTAGTTCTGTGAAATATAGTGTTGGAATTTCAATTGGCATTGCACTGAATGTATATAGCAGTTTTGGTAGTATGGCCATTTTCACTATGTTGATTCTTCCTACCCAGGAGCAGCAGATATCTTTCCATTTTTTTTAACCTCTTCAATTTCTTTTTTCAGAGTGCTGTAGTTTCAGTGTAGAGATCTTTTGCTTCTTTTGTTGGATTGATTCCTAGATACTTCATTTTTTGGATGCTATTGTAAAAGGAATTTTTTCCCTTATTTCTCCCTCCCTGAGTCTGTTATTTGTGTATAAGTAGGCTATTGATTTTGGGGTATTCACCTTGTATCCAGATACTCTACTGAATCTGTCAATTAAGTCTAGAAGTTGTTTGGATCTTCAATGTAGAGTATCATATCATCAGCAAATAATGACAGTTTAACTTCTTCCTTTCCTATCTTTATTGCTTTAATTTCTTTCTCTTGTCTAATTGCTGTGGCTAATGTTTCCAGAACTATAATGGATTTCAACCTGCCACAGATTAAAATTAGACCCTTATCTTTCGCCATGCACTAAATTAAAATCCAAATGGATTAAAGATCTAAATATTAAAACAGAAACATTAAACTTGCTGGAAGGTAAGTTAGGCAGAACTCTGGAAGACATTGGTATAGGAAAAGACTTTATGAACAAATCCTCAGTAGCACGGGAACTAGCAGATAGAATCAACAACTGGGATCTCATCTTACTAAAAAACTTCTGTACTTCAAAAGAAACCATCAGCAGAACTAAGAGACAATCTACAATGTGGGAAAAAATTTTTACCAGCTGTTCCTCAGACAAAGGACTATTATCAAGGATATATAAAGAACTCAAAACAATCAGTCCCCCCAAATATAAAGACCCGATCCAAAAATGGGCATCCGAAATGAACAGACATTTCTCATACAAAGAAGTGAAAGCAGCAAGAAAATATATGAAAAAATGTTCCACATCACTGGTCATTCGAGAGATGCAGATGAAAACAACACTGAGATTCCACCTCACCCCACAAAGAATGGCTGCTATCAAGAAATCACACAATAACAAATGTTGGCGGGGTTGTGGGGAGAAAGGAACCCTTCTCCATTGTTGGTGGGAGTGCAGACTGGTGCAACCACTATGGAAATCAATATGGAGATACCTCAAAGAGCTTGGACTGGAGGTTCCATTTGACCCAGCCATCCCTCTGCTGGGTATCTTTCCAAGATAACTAAAAGAATCATATCACAGAGAAGTATGTGCACCCATGTTTGTAGCGGCACAGTTTGTAATAGCTAAATCTTGGAAACAGCCCATTTGCCCATCCGTTGGAAACTGGATAAAGAAGATGTGGTTTTTCTATAAAATGGAATATTACTCAGCCATAATGAACGAGAAAATAGATTCATTCATAGGAAAATGGATACATATTGAAGATATACTCCTAAGTGAATAAATAAGGCACACATGTGTAAATACCGAATAGTTTCCCTGGTGTGAATAATCTGCAATAATACATAAGATCCTAATAAGATTACTGACATTTAGAAAAGGGAAGAAAGGAGCTAAAGGTGTAGGGAAGGTGGGATGGGTAGGGGAAGGGTAAAAAGGGAAAAGAAAAAAATGTGAGATAATGCAAAGATGCAAATAAAGTGGAGATGGGGAGGGGAGAAGGGGGTGAAGGGAGGGCAGAGGTAAGGGGAAAAAATGAGAATCAAGACCTGTCATGTGGAGGTACAAGATCCCAACAATGAATGTAATTGTGCTGTATCCCTAAAATGTACCAATAAACTCAATTAAAGCTGAAAAAAAAAGGAATATAAAAAACAGTAAACTCGTAAATTCTGGCGAGGCCTGGTGCTACTAGTGGGAATGGGCATTGGTAGAACTGCTACAGACATCAGTACAGAGGATCCTCAAAAAACACGGAGCCATTATCTGACCCAGCTATACTCAAAGGAATTAAAGTGAGCACAGAATAGGGTTACCTGCATGGCCACGCTGACTGTGGAACAATTCGCAATAGCCAACCATGACACCAGCTTAGGTGCAAAGCACCATATAAAAACAACATATGGACAAAGAAAATACGGTATGACTGCATGGTGGCACACACCGATAGTCCCAGCACTCTGGGAGGCTGACGCAGGAGGATTGACTAGATCAAGCTCAGCATGGACAACCTAGTGACTTTGCAAGACTGTGTCTCAAAATTTTAAAAAAGGGTTGTGGATATAGCTCAGTGAGAAGGTCCTCAGTTCAATCCCCAGTATCGCAAGAAGTGGGGTGGGGGAGTATATATTCACAATGAGGTATTGTTCGATCATAAAGCACAAAATCTTGTCATTTACAGGAAAACAAATGAATCCTCAGATGATCATGTTGGGCAAAATAACCAGACTTAGACAAGTGCCATATGTGGGGAATCTAAAAAGGACAACAAGAAAATACAACAGAAACTATTATTATTTATAAGAAGCTATTAAGGGGGACAGGGCTACAAGGGCAAGTAATATGAATTATGGATATGATCAAAAGATATACATAGTGAAACCCAAAAAAGGCCAAAAATGTAAGGGGGGGTAGGAGGAGTGAAATGATCAGACTGTATTATGTACACACACAATCCTGCCAGGATAAAATCTGTTGGTCTCTCTGATGTGCAATGATAAAAAGGATCTTAAAAAAGAGGCATATTATACCCCTAAGTTTCTTTCAATGTGGGAGAGCAGAGAATGGAGGCTTAACTGGCCTCCTCTGTGAGTACAAAGGAAAGCCCCTGCACTCGGGGATGACTGCATATTCAGGTTCTAGGGAAAAGCGAAGACAGCTGAGACTAAGGTGTTAAGCAGAATGTGTACTAATGATACTGGAGAGCAGTTGAACCCTGTGTTACTTTGACTGCTTGTGCCCATGTGAAGACGAGCCAGACGCTGGGGGCTCCTCTGCCTATGAGAGAGGAAAGCCCCTGGCTGCCGGCATGTTAAACTGACTCCATCTCTTTGTCGTTCATTCTCATACACGCCTGGGTCAGGGAGAACAAAGCAGCAGGTCTAAGGCTCCACCAGCAGAATGTGGGTGGGGAAAGCTCACGGGTGACACCTGGGGCAGAAGGACTGAGACCTACAGCAAAGGCCAGCCAGGTGGGTTAGTTTCGACTGGCGCCTGAATGGGGACTTGGGACAGGGGTTGGCTACAATACACATTTTGACACTAATGTTCTTAATTTGCCTAATAAAATAAATTTCTCAGGAGTAAATATTATTTCTAATTATCTTCACTCTCATTTCCCTTCACTATTTACACTAACCATGAACTGACAGTGTTCACTTTCACTGAGATGCTTTCGAATATTCAGTTGTAACAAGCTAAGCATGGTGACACACGCCTGTAATCCCAACACTTGGGAGGCTGAGGCAGGAAGAAACCAGCCTGGGCTACGTCGTGAGTTCCAGGTCAGTCTCAACTATATAGTGAGACCCTGTCTCAAAAAAAAAAAAAAAATCAGCTGTAACACTTCTTTTTTTTTTTTTGAGAGAGAGGTCTCACTATGTAGCCCAGGCTGGTCTCAAACTCACAGCGATCCTCCTGCCTCAGCCTCCCAAGTGCTGGGATTACAGGTGTGCGCCACCACACCCGGCAGCTGTGATACTTCTTATGGCAAAGATTTCTTAATACATAAATGAGGGTGCCAAGGATTTAGCCCAGTGGTGTCACTGCCTGCCTCACAAGTGCAAGGACCCAAGTTCGATCCCCACTGCCAAAAAAAAAAAAAAAAAAAAAGAGGGCTATCAAATTTCCAGTACATATTACTCTCACTCTTTAGAAATTCTACAAGAATATTAACATCAAATTTATTCTGAATACTACAAATCTTTCAACTAGAGGACACTGTAAGTCAATTCCTATTACTGAAAATAAACCACACACAATGATCTTCAAAAGACAGTATGTGGACTTTTTTTTCAAACTGAGTAAGAAAGTAACTTTATGAAAACTGTAAAGTAAAACTTATGACTTTAAATTTCTACTACTCACAATGTAATTAAGGTAATAAAGGCATTTGCAGTAGACAAAGAAGAGTAGCAAGTCCACTCTAGAACAGTGTTCCAAAGGCTTTCAGGGTATCATTTAAAGTTCCCAATAATGCTTAGAGCCAAGAAGACTCATTTCCAAGACAATGAAATAAATTAAGAATGAGCCATGGTCTGACTGCAAAATAGGCATTACTTGTAACACCACTACTCCCAATATACACGCACCAAAAAAGAGCTTTAAATTTGCACTATTTACCTAAGGAACTACTGTGTATTTCAAAGATGCTCAAAACAATTTTGGTAATTTGTAGTATTGGGTAGGTACTGATAGACACGCCTTCAACACCATTTTATAAATTATAACTTTAGCATGCAAAATCCCCACTGAAGCCCAACTTTCAAAATTTTAACAGTAAAGTATATCTGCTTCACACTATTCTCTAGCCTTAGCTCCAAACTAGTTTTATAAATTTCAAACTTGTATCTGCAAAAAGTAAAATTTCCACACTTGACATACTTGCCTTAATTTTCTAACTGTTTTTCAACTGTAGAAGGCTTTAAATGTGAAACTAAGAACCAGGTCAATAAACAGAAGTGCATGTTGTCCCTTCCTACACTAATCCAGATATATAGGCTTTGTTTATCAGACAAACGGTAGGTAGCTACTTATTTAAATAGAAGACAGTTAAAATCTTCTAAAGGAAGTAAGCAGGAAATGGGGGGTGGGGTATGATGCAACCACTTACAATAAGCAATTTAAACTTACCCTGAGATTCTGGTAGCCATATCCAATAAAATGCTTCTCCATTCTAACTGTTCAAACCTCCAAATCCGTGCTGTTCCATCTCTGCTACCACTGAGGAACCTTAAGAGATTCAGAAACAGATCCTCTACTTACGTGCTTGGTACGAAGGGCTATAATTAAAATCATCAAGCAAAAATAACTCTTAATGTAGCTGCCCTGATGACAGGTATATCTACAGGTGTTGTGGTTATTTAGGGCATTTGTGCTTTGCTATGATTTTTCTGGATCTACAAAACACAACACACTGCTGGGGATTTAGCTCAGTGGCACTGCTCATGCCTCCCAAGCGCAAAGTCCTGAGTTCATTCCCTGATTTGGGAAGATGGGGACACACAACATATTGTAAACGCAATCAACAGGTTTTAAAACTGATTTCTTAGTTTTGAAAAGACAATATAAAAAAAGTAGTATCTGGAGAGAGGCAAAATTAAAGGCATATGGGAAATTAATGAGAGCAAAAATTCATTTGAAACATCTAACTTAAAGCTCTAATTCATGCTGGACACTGTAAAAAATAATCTATTTACAGGGCCGGGGATTTAGCTCAGTGGTTCCACCACCAGCCTCGCAAGAGCAAGATCCAAAGTTCAACCCCCAGTACCAAAATAAATAAATAAATAAAACAATAAAAATGATAATAATCTATTGATAAATGAAAGCGAAGGACCAGGGATTTAGCTCAGTGCTGGCAAGCACAAGATGCTGAGTTCAATTCTGGGTACTGGGAAAAGAAAAAGAAAAAAACAAATCCACAAAAACAAACAAACAAATGAAAGCAGGCACAAAACCTGCAGTTTAGTAAAGACACCTCACATATATTGGGAGCCAGAAAGGATATAATTTAGGTAATAACTGCACTGCAAAGAACATCACAGTGGCTGATTTTAAAAGATTCTTTTAAAAGATTTAAACAGCACAAATTTCATCACTCTTACATCTAATTTTTTTTTCAGTAAACTAGACATCTAACCAAAGAACAGCTTTTGGTCATGGTATCAAGCAACTCTAAAATCTTAAGTGTTATGGATTTATCTCCACTCTAGACACTTTTTATTCAATTCATATATTTACTGATAACTGTCTGCAATGTAAAAAGTGCTAAAACCACAGCAATAACATACGGTACATACATCTCAAAACTGCTAAGATCCTAAATGAATTCACTAGAAAAAAATATGTTAGATGATGGATAGGTTAATAATTTTCAGTAAATCATTCTATAACATAAACATATACCAAAGCATGATACTATAATTATTTATCAATCAAAAATGATAAAAGAAAAATATAGAAAGTGATATCTTCATTATAAAATATGTGGTATTATACATCTCCTAAAAATACACAAACACATAATTGTGCGCCTAAAAACATACATATACTTACCGGTCACCATTGTTACAAAATTGGATACTATCTACTTTATCCTAAAGGGAGGAAAAACAAAGAAACAGAAACAATTATTATCTACATAGTTTGTAATTGTTTTAATTTCAGTGATAGTAGCACATTTGACTTAATAAGCAAGAAATGCACCTTTGTGTTGCTTGGCCCAATTATTTCATGTGCATTGTGATATTAAGTGTAAAGACTCAAAGGAACTAACAGACTTCCACTCTACTTTCAAAACTGAGCATATCCAGTAGGAAAAAAGCCTTGCACATAAAATTATAGCTGTGTTTATATTCTGTTTAAAGTAACTTATGTGGCTACCAAAAGGAACATGGGGAAAGTAATCTAAATATAAAAACTTCAAAATCCTGAGGCAGCAGGATTACTGGAGGCCAGCCTGAACTACACAGCAAGACCCTGTCTCAAAAACAAAGTATTTTTCTTAAATCATTAAAATAAAATTTGTTAGCTGGGCGTGGTGGCGCATGCCTGTAATCCCAGCACTCAGGAAGCTGAGGCAGGAGGATCGCTGTGAGTTTGAGACCAGCCTGAGCTACATAATGAGTTCCCGGTCAGTGGCAACTACATAGTGAGACCCTGTCTCAAAAAAACTAACTAACTAAATAAATAAATAAATAAAATTTGTTAAACAGAAAAAAATTTAAAAATTAGAATATAATAGCAATTTCCTTTAGCAATAACAAGAATATCATTTAACAATCTATAAAATTTTTAAATATGAATGCTTACTGTGTGGCTTTCAAGTTCTGCAATTTTTTCAGGTGCTTCAAAACCCAAAAAATACATTCTGATTACATGATCAGTACTTCCTGTTGCTAAAAACATACCACCTGAAATAAAAATGTTCAAGTTTAAACATCGACAAAGGAACAGACGAGAGGATACAGAAACAACTCCAAACATACTAATCCACCTTATCTTTGACAAAGGAGCCAAACACCCTCACTAAAGGAAACCCTCTTTAGTCCCGTATCTTTCACCAGGCATTAAACTAAAATTGAAATGGATCAAAAATCTAAATATTAAAACAGAAATACTAAATGTGCTGGAAGAGAGAAGAGGTAGAACGTTGAGGACATAGGAGCAGGCAAAGACTTCACGAACAAAACCCAGACTGCACAAGAAATACTACAAAGAGTCAACAACTGGCACCTTATCTTATTAAAAACCTTTTGCACAGAAAGAGAAACCACCAGCTGAGTGAAGAGACAACACAGAGTGGGAAAAGTTTTCACCAGCTATTCAGATGAAGGACTATTATCTAAAATATATATAAAGAGCTCAAAAAAAATCAGACCACCCCCCAAATTTAAAGACTTAATCCAAAAATGGGCATCTTAAATAAAAAAACACTTCTCAGATGAAAAAGTACAAACCGCAAATAAATACATGAAAAAGTGCTCAGCATCACTGGTCATTCAAGATATGCAAATGAAAACAACACTGAGATTCCACCTCACCCCAGAAAGTGGCTGCTATCAAGAAATCAACCAATAACAAATGCTGGTGGGCTGTGGGGGAAACGGAACCCTGCTCCAGTGTGGATGGGAGTGTAGACTGGTACAACCATGGTGCCAAAGGAAAAAAAAAAAAGTTTAAATACTGGCACAAAAGGGGTGTGCTTTCCAATCTATTTCACATACCTAGACCTAGCTGGGGAAGAGCTCACTTGAAGTTTTTAGACTTTTGTGAGAGAGAGCTCTGATCCATCTAAAGGGGGAGGGAGGGAGGTTGGTTGGTTACCACACAAACTCACTACATTTGTGAGGGAAAAGGGGGGGTGAAGGGGGGCAAGGCCCTGGGTTCAATCCCCAGCACAAAGAAGAAAAAGTGGAAATGATTTAAACAAGATAAATGTGTGGAAAACAAATTTAAACTAACAATTCTGATGAAGAATTTTAGCAGTGGTGTGATCATTTATTAAAACAGTAACATAATTTTTTAAGTTATCAAAGAACTTATCTTACCAACACTAAAAGAAGAACAAAGCATTTGAACACCTGGCCTGGGCTTTTCGGTGAACTTCAGGGGGCGTGGACTATAAAAAAAAGAAGATACTGCTTTAAAATACATTAGCTTAACACATTAACAAATTAGAAATATTACTTTTAATCATGCACATTTAAATATAGTCTTAGTCTTAAAGCACCTTACCCTATACCAAATGTTCCCATGTATCAGAATGGCCCAGAGATAAAATATTACCGAGGTAGATTAGATGCTAAGGACCATTACTGCACACTGAGAAAACAAGCCCACTAACACTAAAGCTTGGACAATCTCAGTGAACCCACTGCCAAGAAGGGTTTACAACCACCAGAGCGTAAGTAAGACTGGAGTGGATGGCCAACCACCCTTCTTTCAATAGTGACATTTTTAAGAAGAAAAAAGAAGCCAGATGTGAGCAGCACACACCCAGAGTCCTGGCTATGTGGGACACATGGGTGATCAGGGTGGAAGGTGGCTTGCTGTGGTAACGAGAAATACCATCTCAAAAGTTAAATTAGTTTTTAATTTCACCCCCAACATATCCAAAAATCGTATCAACATGTCGATCATAACATGATTTTAATGAAATAATTTTATAGATTCTTTCATATTAAGTATTAATCTTTCAGTATGTACTGGACACGTAAAATACGTCTTAATGTGTACATTTAATTTTCATTAAAAATACTTGGACCTGTACTTGGATTTTCGAAAACTTGTATTTCAAAAACTCAGACTCAAATTGTTTGAACATACATAAACGTTTTCTAGTAACTGAATCAAGTATGAGGTTTCAAAGCTGACCTAACAGCTCATCTCATCACTTACACTAGCCACATTGAAGTTTCACTAGTGACATGTAGCTGTGTGTACTGGGCATCACAGGTCTATAATCCGGCTCTTATGACTCCCAAGTCTTCCTGCCTGGGCTTCTGGTTAGATATATGATTGTACATTTCTAATATTTTGAAAAACGGTTCCCATACATACTGTTGCACCCTGTTTACACAAGAAATATGCTTGCCAAGATAGCTTTGCATCTTTTACATACCTGTCTAAAAATAATCAATACTGCACATATGCTTTATATAATAAATTCACAGATAACCACAATACATAATCTTTCTATAATTGCACTTCATACGAATAAATCTAACCGCATCTGAAAACAAACTTGTTTTCTGCTGTCACTTACCTGAATTTCAGAGACTGTAAATCCCATTGCCAAAAGCAAACTGTCCCATCAGCTCCAGTGGAAACCATGTATCTCTGAGAACCTTTGGCCATCGGGCTAAACTGAAAAGCGGTGATGTATAAAAATCAGTTTTTAGAGCTTCTATTTAAGTTATAGTTTAAACATTCTTTCAAAATTAACTTCAACTGGGCTGGAGATTTAGCTCAGTGGCACCATGCCTGCCTCACAAGCACAAAGTCCTGAGTTCAATCACTGTTACCACACACACAAACCTTACTTAAAGAAAGTACTATGTGTACTAAACAAGGCAGAGAAGACCATTTTGTTCCAAACACATTCAGGAAGACTCAGGAGAAAACAAGCAAATCACTTAAAAGAATATGATGAGCACAGGTTCTAAAGTGAATGGGTATTTGGTATGAAATAGGAACACAAAGATGTACAGAAGTGATGTTCATTGTTGGAAGTCAGAAAAGTGGGTTAAATGGGGAGATAATGTGGACTTAAAAACAGCAAGAGGTAACTATAGTTTTGAAGAAAAACACCAAAAGCAGCCAAAAAAATCTTTGTCTGAACGGAGTACAATATTAACTAAAAGGAAGCAGCTAAAGATAATACAGTAAAGGGCCAAAAAGCAATCCAATTAATCTATGAAGCAATAACATTAACTGGAGGACAGCTTCTCCTTCCCCACCCAGAATGTGAAGAATAGCCAAGAAAGAAGCAACAATAGGCTGGGGATTTAGCTCAGTGGTTCCACTGCCTGCCTCCCAAGCACAAGGAGGTCCCGAGTTCAATCCAAAGTACCCACCCCCAAAAACAGCAGCAACAAAACTTGCTGGTTCAGGAGACAAGACAAAGAAGGAAGCCGAGCACGGCAGCACACACCTGTAATCCCAGCACTGGGGAGGCTGAAGCAGAAGGATTGCTGTGAGTTCTAGGCCAGCTTGAGCTACACATAGTGAGTTCAAAGCTAGCTGAATTACAGAGCAACACTGTCTCAAAAACCAAAAAGAGGATGGGGGAGTGAATAAAGACTAGTGGTGTCTTTAACAGAAAAGGAAGAGTGGAGAAGAAATGATTATCACCTAAGAGATTTTTATAGAATATTTCATTAAAAATAACAGAAAAGCCAAGCATAGTAGCACATGCCTATAATCCCAGCACTCAGGAGGGTGAGGCAGAAGATCACCTCAGTTCACAGCCAGCCTGGGCAAAAAATAGTGATAATGAGAGTTCCAGGCCAGGCGAACCTACACAGTAAGATCTATCTCCAAAAAAAAGTAATGTAACAAGTTATATTAATAAATGCATATGCTTGTTAATTAAAACACCACAGGCTAGGCATGGTGAAACACGCCTCTAATCATAGCACTCAGAAAGCAGAAGCAGAACTGCCAAGACTTCAGGGCTAGCCTGGGCTCCATAGTGAGTTCAGGGCCAGCCTGAACTACAAAGCAAGACCCTGCCTCAAACACCAAGTAAATCAATAAATCATGGCACATTTTTAGAATTCTAAGCATGGGTAGCAGGTAAAGCCTCAACACCAAATTTTTTTTTAATTCTACATCTCTCTATGGAAAAACACGTTTACTTTTAAAGTCACCTGGGTTCTAAATCAAATTCCCAGATATGTAAGTGGTTTGCTACTGCATTTTGTCCCTCTTATCTTTGCCTATTCATGGCTGATGACACTATCATTTTTTTATAACAGCTAAAGCATTTTTTAATATCTAGCATGGATCAAATGGAGTGGGAGGTAGCTATCTGCATTTTTCTTTTCTAAACAAGCTTGATGGTTGCAGTAAGTTGCATTAAAATTAAACAATCTGGATTTCTTTTTCTTCTTCTTCTTCTTCTTTTCTTCTCCAGTACTAGGGATCGAACTCAGGACCTTGCAGTTGTGAGGCTGGCACAGCACCACTGAGCTAAACCCCAGGCCCACAATCTGGATTTCTAATGTAAATCTACTACATTTATAGTATAGCCCAACTCACAGAGATCTGAAATCTTCACAATAGCTCATTTATGATTCAAGGACACAGGAAGTACTTCCACTTATAAAGGCTATTTCCCTCCCTTCATCAAACGTTGTCACTGTTTTTAAGACCTTTCTTCATATATGAGGCGTGATTTTTTTTAAAAATGGTTTTTTCTTAATTTATTAAAGTTAGACACATTGCCATTAATGCTCTTAAAAATCTCCCTCCAAACAAAGCTTTTTCAAATTGGAGGGAGCAGGGCTGGAGATTTAGCTCAGTGGTTCTGCCACCTGCTTCACAAGGTCCCCTTTTGATCCCCAGCAACAAAAAATGAAAAAAAACTGAAGGGAGCGAGAAGGGATCTTAGAAGGGGCCAAAAAAAAAACGGTGAAGCTGAGTTTGTACCAGTACAGACTCCCTATGACAAATGTAACCATGTACTGCAAACACGTACAGTACAGTATTAGCACTACTGCACTAATACAAAAATATGTAATTTTAAAACAATAACCCTCCACACTTCCAACACCCTCATCCCATTATTCATGTCACTTCCTGCAGTAGCTCTGGAGCCCTCTTTCCTGAGTATCTTTAGTTGTGCTGTCACACACACCTGTCTCGGTGTCCTGAAATGATTCAAAACATCTCCCTTTCATGGTCATTCTGACCTTGGAGAAGAGCCTGAAGCTGCACAGTGCCAGATCCGGTGAGTATGGCAGAAGAGGATACAGTGTCCTGTTTTTACAACGGCACTCATTTAGCAACACTCACTGTATTTTTTTATCGCATCTCCTAAAGACATGCAGAGGACTCTAGTGCTGCTTCAGAAAATGACTAGAAGCTGGGCTTGGTGGCACACACCTATAATCCCAGCACTCAGGCTGAGGCAGGAGGATCATGGAGAGTTCGAGGCCAGAGTTCAAAGTCAGCCTAAACTACACAGTGAGATCCTCTCAAAAACACAGAAAAAGAAAAAACAAAGTGGACAGAGAGGATAAGCATGTTTGAAGCAGAGCAGTATTTTAAGGAGAATTAGTGGAGATGTATCTCTTACTGTAAAAAGTTTTATTTTGAACATTCATCGTATTTTTCATCAATCCAATTTTCACATACAGCCTTTATTCCTGTGTTTGAAGGGTTCCGTTGCTCTTGTGAATATTCTTCATTTACTGTGTTTATTACTGGTTGCTCATGCTGTGCCGGAAAGCTCCGACTTCAGGACACTGGCTGCGTATCTAGCTATTTTACTACGCTCTCAGCAGTTCTAATAATTGTACCAGGATTCAGCAGCCAACTTATAAACTAAAAGATCTATTCTTTCCCCTGGGTGCTAGAGAATCCACCCCATACACATGTGCTCTACACAGGCCAAATCTAAGGCCCTATCCCCCCAACCTTGGGAGTTTTAAGAGTTCTGCCTTGTTTTGACATGTTTACCCACTGAAGCCACCCTAAACTGCTCCTAAGCAGTAACATTTCCTCAAAACGCAATCCTTGCCATAGACCCTTGTTTTATTATTCACAACCAAAGCTACTCTTCAATGACTATAACCAGCATTTCTGGATAACAAAAACTAGTTTCGATTTCCTACAATGGTTAAACTGAATTCTACATAAAAGCAGTAGTGCTATGGCTTGTATCTAGATGGCCCTCCAAAGCCTCATCTGGATCATGAGTGTGCAAAACCAGATTAGTACACTCACGGGCTTATCACTGACTGCAATGTTGGGGAGTTAAGCCTGGTGGGAAGAGGTGGGTAACTGTGGGTGAGTGGGTGTGTGTGTGTTTTGTTTTTGTTTTTTTGTTTTTTGAGACAGGGTCTCACTATGCAGTTGAGACTGACCTGGAACTCACTATGCAGCCCAGGCTGGTCTCGAACTCAGTGATCCTCCTGCCTCAGCCTCCCGAGTGCTGGGATTACAGGCATGCGCCATCACACCCAGTGTGTGTATTTCTTCTCCTGCTCCTCTGATACTTCTGTTTCTGACTGCCATGCCATGAGCTCCTTCTCTCCTGTGATACCCCTCTGCCATGCCCTCCTTCCTGGAAGCCAGCAAATTATGTGAGTGAAATAAACCTTTCCTCCTTTAACTTTATACATTTTTGTTCTTACATTCTTAAGATAATGTTGAATAGTTACAGTGGTAATACCATACTAACTTTCCAAAAGAATTTCATTTTATAATATTTCGATCTCCATAGAAGTCACAAAAAGTACACTGGGTGTTCACGTACCAGTCACCACAATTAGCCCTGGTTAGCAATGTGCCGCAATTCCCTCTGAATGCAGATATAATGATGTAGACATGAACCATCTGAACCTAACTGCAGACACTGGGTAGCATCTTTCACGGTTGGCTCCCAAACAGTGCCTCCCACGAGCTTTAATTTGAATACTTTCATGATTAATCAGTTCAGAATACTTTTAAATGTCTATTGTGATTTCTGCTTTGAGCTTGTATTATTTAGAAGTTCATTATATAATTGGCGGGGGTTGATATTGGGGATCGAACTCGGGACCTTGCACTTGAGAGGCAGGTGGCAGAACCACTGAGCTAAATCCCTGGCCCCATTCATTAAATAATTTATAAAACTGAAGATTGCTCTGTTATTAATTCTGGCTGTTAGTAATCTCTGCCTTAATTACACTGTTGTTGGAGAATACACTTAGAATTATTTCAGTATTTTCAAAAGAGACTTGCTTTGATACTTAGAATTTAGAGAAGACTTACATAGTAAATATCTTACTTATGACCAAAGGTTTGTAAAATCAGATGTAAGATTTCTTATGCGCCATCCAGCTCAAGACTGCTGCTTATACTGTTCCAACCTACAATCTTACCCTCCTTGTTGCTTCTGCCATTCCACCACCACGAACTGTTGCCCTTCTGCCACGTGCTACCCTTACTTGGAGCCCACAGATTATGGACTGAAGCCTCTATAAACTGTGAGCTAAATAAACCTTTCCCCTTCAACTCTGGGTGTCGGGTATTTTATCTCAGCAACGCGAAAAATACCTAAGACAAGATTTAGTACTAGAGGAGTGGGTCACTGCTGTGACTATAGTTGACCATGTTTATCAGGAGCCTTTGGGACTGACTTGTGGGAAGACTTTGGA